CATAATCAAACTGATAGAAACCATATAATCATACCCAAAAGCATTTGACAAATTCCAACACCCTTTCATGATAAAAACTCTCATCAAGGTGGAAATAAAAGGATCATACCTTAACATAATAAAAGCCATATATGACAAACCCATAGCCAACATTATACTCAATGGGCAAAAACTAAAACCATTTTCCCTAAGACCAGGAACAAGACAGGGATGCCCACTCTCACCACTCCCTTTTGACATAGTACTAGAAGTACTAGCCATTGCAATAAGACAAGAAGAAGAAAGAAGAGGCATCCAAATTGGAAAAGAAGAAGTAAAACTGTCCTTATTCTCAGACGACATGATATTGTACATAGAAAACCCCAAAGACTCTATCAAAAAACTACTAGATTTAATAAGTGAATTCAGTAAGGTAGCAGGATACAAAATTAACACCCATAAGTCTATGGATTTTCTATACACCAATAATGAACTCACAGAAAGAGAAACTAAAAAAACAATCTCATTTACCAATGCAACAAAAATTAAGATAGGTAAGAATAAATTTAACCAAGAAGATAAAGGACCTGTACTCAGAAAATTTCAGGACGCTGAAAAAAGAGATAGAGGAAGACATGAACAAATGGAAGAATATACTGTGTTCATGGATTGGTAGAATTAACATCATTAAAATGTCCAGAATACCCAAAGCAATCTATAAATTCAATGCAATCCCCGTTAAAATACCAATGGCATACTTAAAAGACCTAGAACAAACTATCCAAAAATTAATATGGAATAAAAAAGACCTCAAATATCTGCAGCAATCTTCAGAAAAAAACAATGTTGGAGGGTTCACAGTACCAGATACCAAGCTATACTACAAAGCCACTGTTCTCAAAACTGCCTGGTCCTGGCAGAAGAACAGACATATAAACCAATGGAACAGAACAGAGGACCCAGAAATCTACACAAGCCATTATACTCAATTAATATTTTACAAAGGAGGCAAGAGCATACAATGGAGTCAAGACAGTGTCTTCAATAAATAGTGTTGGGAAAATTGGACAGATACTTGCCAAAAAAAATGAAACTAGACCACCAACTTGCACAATACACAAAAATGAACTCAAAATGGATAAAGGACTTAAATGTAAGATGGGAAATGATAAACATCTTAGAACAGCCGTGGGCAAACTACAGCCTGCAGGCCGGATCCGGCCCGTTTGAAATGAATAAAACTAAAAAAAAAAAAAAAAAAAAAAGACCGTACCCTTTTATGTAATGATGTTTACTTTAAATTTATATTTGTTCACACAAACACTCCATCCATGCTTTTGTTCCGGCCCTCCGGTCCAGTTTAAGAACCCATTGTGGCCCTCGAGTCAAAAAGTTTGCCCACCCCCGTCTTAGAAGAATCCATAGGCAGCAAAATAGCAGACATATCTCATAGCAATATCTTTACCGATACAGCACCCAGGGCAATGGAAACTAAAGAGAAAATAAACAAATGGGACTACATCAAAATAACAAGCTTCTGCACAGCAAAAGAAACCATCAACAAAACAACAAGAAAGCCACTGCATGGGAGAACATATTTGCCAATGTTATCTCAGATAAGGGTTTAATCTCCAAAATTTACAGGGAACTCACATAGCTTAACAAAAGGAAGATAAACAATCCAATCAAAAAATAGGCAAAGGACCTAAATAGACATTTTTCCAAAGTGGACATACAGAAAGCCAAGAGACATATGAAGACATGCTGAAAGTCACTAATCATCCAGAGATGCAAATCAAAACAATAATGAGGTACCATCTCACACCTGCTAGAGTGGCTATCAATAATGAATCAACAACCAGTGGTGGAGAGGATGCAGAAAAAAAGGAGCCCTCATGCTCTGCTGGTGGGAATGCAGACTGGTGCAGCCACTGTGAAAAACAGTATGGTGTTTCCTCAAAAAATTAAAATTGGAACTGCCATTTGACCCAATAATCCCACTTCTAGGAATATATTCCAAGAAGACAGAAACACTAATCAGAAAGGATATATGCACCCCTATGTTCATAGCAGCACAATTTACAATAGCTAAGATTTGGAAACAGTCTAAATGTCCATCCGCTGATGAGTGTATTAAAAAACTGTGGTACATCTACACAATGGAATACTATGCTGCTATAAAAAAGAACTAATTCTTACCATTTGCAACAGCATAAATGGAACTGGAAAGCATTATGCTAAGCAAAATAAGCCAGTCGGAGAAAAATAAATACCACATGATCTCATTCATTTGTGGTGTATAAAGAACATTATAAACTGATGAGCAAAAATAGATACCAAGGAAGTATCAGACAAATTGTCAAACTACAGCGCAAAGGCAGGGGAGCATTGAGGGGAGGTAAGAGATCAACCGAAGGACTTGTATGCATGCATATAAGCATAACCAATGTACACAGACATTGGGGGGGGGTGAGGGTATATTCCGGGGGGTAGGGGAAGCTGAGGGGAGGTCAATGGGGGAAAAAGGAGACATATGTACTACTATTTGCAATACTTTAAACAATAAAATAAGATTTAAAAAATAAAGATAGTGTAAGGAGCTTCTGGGAAACATCAAAGGTACCAACATTCGCATTATGGGGGTGCCAGAAGGAGAAGAGAGAGAGAAAGATATTGAAAACCTATTTTAAGAAATAATGACAGAAAACTTTCCCTAGCTGAGGTGGGGGGGGGTGGTTAGAGAGCAACCAAAGTCCTTGTATGCATACATATTAGCAGAACCAATGGACACAGACACTGGGGTGGTGGGGACTTGCCCAGGGTGGGAATGGCTAGGGCGGGGGGTCAACTGGGGAAAAAGGAGACATATGTACAACATTAGATAATAAAAGAAATAAATAAAATTTAAAAATAAAGAAAACTTCCCCTACCTGGTGAAAGAAATAGACTTACAAGTCCAGGAAGTGCAGAGAGTCCCAAACAAGAGGAACCCAAAAAGGCCCACACCAAGACACATCATAATTAAAATGCCAAGAGCAAAAGACAAACAGAGAATCTTAAAAGCAGCAAGAGAAAAGCAGTTAGTTACCTTCAAGGGAGCTCCCATACGACTGACAGCTGATTTCTCAATAGGAACTTTGCAGGCCAGAAGAGAGTGGCAAGAAATACTCAAAGTGATGAATAACAAGGACCTACAACAAAGATTATTCTACCCAGAAAAGCTATCATTTAGAATTGAAGGTCAGATAAAGAGCTTCACAGACAAGAAGAAGCTGAAGGAGTTCATCACCACCAAACCAGTATTACATGAAATGTTGAAGGGTATTGAAGAAGAAAGAAGAAGGAGGAGGAGGAGGAGGAGGAGGAGGAGGAGGAGGAGGAGGAGAAGGAGGGGAAGGAGGAGAAGGAGGGGAAGGAGGAGAAGGAGGAGAAGGAGGAGAAGGAGGAGAAGGAGGAGAAGAAGGAGAAGAAGAAAAATATGAACAATAAAGTGGCTATAAATACATATCTATCAACAATTGAATCTCAAAATAAACAAACAGGGAATCTAATGAACAAAAATAAACTGACGAATAAAATAGAACCAGGGGTGGAGATTACCCAAAGACTTGTATAGGGTGGTGAAGGGCTGGGGTGGGGTGGGAATCCCTTAGAGGTGGAAATAGGGGGAAAAAGGATACATTTGTTATACTCTCAACAATAAAGATTTCTTTTAAAAATAAAATTAGAACATACAGGTAATGAAATAAAAAATTCTTTCTAATCTCTTCACTCCAAAGATAATTTATATTTTCTAGAATTTTCCTTTGTGTGAGGTATTCCTAATTATTTCTTCAGGTGGGTGGTATAAGAGGATTTATTATACTGTTCTTGCAACTTTTCTGTAGGTTTGGATTTTTTGCAAAATAAAAACTTAAAAACATGGAAACAAAATGCCTCTCCTAAACGTACCACTAGTATCACAAAAGCCTCATTTTTTTAAAGCTCAGTAGGGCTTCAGTATTAGTTTATTTTTCATTAAATGTATCAGGCTAGTGTTGTTTAATAACACATTGCAGGTGTACAACTTTGTAATACATGTGTATACTCGGATGTGTGCTCACCACCTACAGTCTAGTCTCCTGCCATCATCTTGTATTTATTTCCTTTACCCTCTTCATCCTTTCCTCACTCCCCTACCCGTCATTTTGTTGTCCGTATCTATGTTTGTTTGTTGCTTTTTGTTTTATGTCCCACATATGACTGAAGTCATATAGTTCTTATCCTTTTCCATCTGATTTACTTCACTTAGCACGATATTCTCTAGGTCTATCCATGTTGTGGTAAATGGTAATGTTCCATGTTTTTATTTTACTTATTGATTGGAGTGACATTTGTCAACATGAACATATGGGCTTCATGTATGGGTTTCTATGTTACAAGACCTGTATGTTGCTCTGTGTGCCCACCACCCAGAGTCAAATCTTCTCCTGTCACCTTATATTAAGACCCCCTTCTTCCCCATCCCTTCCCTCTGGCAACCAATGTCACCCAAATCAGCCACTATTTGTGTTACATGTTTTTATTTATATATATGTATCACTCTTCTTTAATCATCCGCTGAAGAACTCTTGAGTTGTGTCCATGTGTTGTCTATTGTAAATAATGCTGCAACGAACATATGTAATCTCTATTTATGAATAATTGTTTTCAGAATTTTCAGGTAGATACTTGGTAAAAAGCTTGCTGGGTCATATGGTAGCTCTAGTCTTAATTTTTTTAGAAACCTCCATACTGGTTTTTCAGAATGACTATACCCACCAGCAGTGTACGAAGGTTCTCTTTTCTTCACATCCTCTCCAACATTTATTATTTCTTGTCTTATTGATAATAGCCATTCTAACAACTGTGAGGTGCTGAGATATTACTAATTCTAATGAGTAATCTACAAGTATATTTTGAAGTTCAGGTGCTAATGAACAGTTTGTTGTCCTGTTCCCTCATGAAAACTAAGCTTCCGTATGTCTTCTGCTTGATTCTAGGTCTCTATCCTGCTACCAGTGGAGAGGCCTATGTTAATGGATTTGCCATCTCAAAGCAGATGGTCCAGATCAGGAAAAGCTTGGGCCTGTGTCCCCAGCAGGACTTGTTGTTTAATTACTTGACAGTATCAGAACACCTTTATTTCTATTGCATGGTAACCAAAGACATGTTGCTTTATTTCCACTCTATTCCTGTACTTAAGATAGAGTACCTACTATCAATATCCTTATTCTTTGAACTTTCTTTCAAAAACTTATTTTTGGTGAATTCTTCTTTAAACATAAAGAGACGCAAAGGGAAGAAGACACTGTGTAGATGATGTAAGAAAAGAGCTGGTGAAACATGTTTCTGACGATGAAGTCTGCCTTCTCTTTCTAGATTAAAGGAGTCCCTCGAAAGATGTACCCTATAGAAATTGACCGTATGCTGTCTGCTTTTAACCTGATTGAAAAGCGAAATGCATTTTCAGCATCACTGAGTGGAGGAATGAAGCGCAAACTCTCCGTCATTATAGCACTTATAGGGGACTCCAAGGTAAAAGTAAAATAAAAGCTAAAAATGGATCCCCACTGAAGCATGTCTAAAAAAAATAAGCTGACACAAACCCATGTGCTTCTATGTACCTAACACTCTAAAAGGAGCCTCCCAAATCCTAGATGTGCTTACATTATCAACCTTGTTGGAATAAAACGGTCATAGGTTTGGAATCAGTCCAGCATTCCTAATTCGGTTTTAGTCTAAGCTTATCATCTTAGCTCAGTTGGACAAGTGACTGGAAAGACCCCAGTGCACTAATCTGTCGTGTTTAACGTGGTCATGGAGTTCTTCTTCTGCTCTCTAGGTGGTGATACTTGATGAGCCCACAGCTGGCATGGACCCTGCCTCGCGAAGGGCCACCAGGGACCTCCTTCAGCAGTATAAACAGGGCCGCACCATCTTACTGACCACCCACTACATGGAGGAAGCTGACATCCTGGGTGACCGCATTGCCATCATGGTGAAGGGATCCTTACGATGCTGTGGCTCTTCACTTTTCCTCAAAAACATATATGGTCTCTCTCCCTTTAATCATTCTTTTGATATTGATGTCTTAATATTATTCTAACATAGCTTTTATGGATATTGATATCTTAATAATATTATTTAACATAGTTTTTGTGTGTGTTTTACATCTACCAATCACTTCAGTGATTCCCTCTATTCTTTTAATTGGGTTCAACTATGAGCCCTTTGAAATAATGGTCATATTTCAATTTTTCAAAACAATTGCATTGTCCAGATTTCATGTTTATTTCTTTCATATGACATCCATATAAATTGTAATTTGCCCAACTACAGTTGGGCCTTTAGTGAGCTAGATATCTCAATACATAGATAGATGATAGATGATAGTCAGACAGTAGATGGATGATGAATAGATAGATATATTCATGAATTCTATGAAAAATGTAGGGAATAAATATCTACTCCTTGTTTAAATCAGTATAAAATTGTTCTGTATGTGCAGAATATTTTGTTCTAATTTTGAGAAGACTTTTTCTAAACATAAAAATGCCAAATATGTCTTAATAGCTTCCTTACCTCTTTTAGGTAATTATTTAAAATTATCTATCCATCAGTTTTCTTTGGCCCGCTAAATAAAATTTCAGCACCTTATCTCCAAATTTTCATATTTCTTTCCATTTTTCCCTGAAGCACTAGCTTAATAGAATATATAATTTATTCATTTACCTTGTTTATTATCTGTCTCCCCTCTATAGAGGAAAAATTGTCAAGGAAAAAATTTTAGTTGAAGTCTAATTTATGTAATTTAGTTGAGTACAGTGAGTAGATATTCCATGCTCAGTTTGCTGAGGTTTTACAATTGTATCTGCCCATTTGACTCCAAGTAAAGCAAGATACAGAGTATTTCTATGACCCCAGAAAATTCCCTTTAACCTCTTTCCATCAATTCCTTTCCCAGAGGCAATTGCCTTATCATTTTTATTACCATACATTAATTTTGCCTGTTCTTGAAAATAACAGAAATGAGTCATACACAATAATTTCTTGTTTCTGGTTTCTTTACCTCAGCACAGTAGTTTGAGATTAATCTTTGTTGCTGCATGTATCAGTAGTACACATGTTCTACTCTTCATGGATTTTTAGGTTGTTTTAGGTCATTTCTAATTTCCAAATATCATGAATAAATATGTTGTAAACTTGCTTGTAAAAATCTCTGTTGGATAAAAATTTATCTTGGGTGAAAATACATAGAATTGTAGTTACTTGGTCAATTATTAAGTGTACATTCGGCCAAAAGAGTCTCCAAAGTGCTTGTATTATTTTACAACTACCAGCATGTTTGAGAAATCAATTTGCTCTACATCCATACCAATATTTTGGTATTGTATTTGGATTTTAGCTGATCTAGAGAATGTGAAACAATATCTATTACTTTAATTTTCATTTTCTTAGGAATAATTATATTTAGTACATTTTCATGTACAAATTGGTTTTTTGTACAATTTACTCTGTGAAATATAAATTTTGGTTTTGTATCTTTTTTGTTGTTAATTTGCAGTTCACATATTCTAGAAGTCCTTTGTCAGATATATGTATTGTGAATATTTCTCAAATGCGTTTCTTGTCTATTTATTTTTTTGCTAGTATCTTTTATTGAGCATAAATTTTTAAATTTGGAAAGCCCAGTTTATCAATTATTTTCCTTATTTTGGTCCATGCTTTTAAGGAAACCTTTGCTTATGTAAAGGTTGCAAATATATTCTCTTATATTTCTTCTGGATTTTTTATGGTTCTAGCTTCTAAAAGTTTATGACCTATTTCAAGTTAGTTTTTGTGTGAATGGTGTTAGATAAGTTGTTGATGTTGATTTTTCCATGTTAATATCCAGAATACATTTAACTTTTTTTTTCTGTTGAATTGGCACTTTTGATGAAAATCAGTTGATTCTTTATATGTTGGTCTACTTTTGGATTTTCTATTCTTTCATTGACCTATGTCTGTCTTTCTACAAATATCATAGTCATGAATACTGTGTCTTTGTAGTAAGTCTTGAAAACAGGTAATATAAATCCACTAACTTTTTTTTTCCAAAATTAGTCCCCCCTGTTTTAGTCCCTTTTTAGTTCCATATGAATTTTAGGGTCATTTTGTCGAATTCTACAAAAAAAACCTGGAAGAATATTGATTGTGATTGCTATGAATCTTTATACCATTTTGAGAAGACTGTTCATTTTAATAATATTGACTCTTTTCATATATGAACATCGTATAATTTTCTTTCTTTATTTAGGGTCCATCCATTTAATCATTTTGGGCTGTATTTTGTTGTGTTTACTGTGAAGGTCTTTCATTAGTTTTATTCCAAGCTATTTTTGTTTTTAATTTTATGTAAATAATATTACATATTTAAATTCATTTTATAATTGTGTCTTTTCTAATATTTAGATATATAATGACTTCTATATTGATCTTGTATCCTATGAACTTGTTTATTCACATATTAGGTCTGATAGTATTTTTGTGGATTTTGTGCAAAAATCTTGTCACCTGTGTATCAGAAAAGTTTTACTGGTGTAAGAACAGACACATAGATCAATGGAACAGAAGAGAACCCAGAAATAATCCCACAAATATATGGTGAATTAATTTATGACAAAAAACTCAAGAATATGTAATGAGAAAAGGACAGTCAATTCAATAAATGATGTTAGGAAACTTGGACAGCCATATGCAGTTAGAACACTATCTTACACCAGACACAAAAATCAATTCAAAGTGGATCTATGACTTTTCAAGTTAGTGTTTTTTGTTTTCCTCAGATAAATGCCCAGAAGTGGAATTGCTGGATCATTTTGTAGTTCTGGTTTTTAAATTTATTTTACTGAATTTATTGCGGTGACATTATTTTGGTTTGCAAAATTTATTATTTTATTTAAGCATAGTTGTTATACAACCTTATATTGGTTGTATTAGTTTTTGTACAGTATAGTGACTGGACATTTTTATACCCTGCATTATGATCAGCCAACTAATTCTGGTAATCATCTGTCATCTTGTAAACTTACTGCAATACTAGAGGCCTGGTGCATGAAATTTGTGCACAGGTAGGGTCCCTAGGCCTGGCTGGCGATCAGGGTCCATTAGGGCCTTCCGGCTGCCAGCCGGGGCCTTCCTTTGTTCTGTGCCACCCCCTGGTGGTCAGTGCACATCATAGCGAGCGATCAAACTCCCTGTTTCCTGGTCTAACTCCAGAGGGGACACTTTGCATAGTAGGCTTATATAGAGATAGATTATTGACTATATTCCCATTCCTCTTTCAACCATCCCCTACCAACTCCCTCTGGTAACCATCCCTTTGGTTTCTGTTTCTATGAGTCTGTTTCTGTTTGTTTTGTTTTGAACTGGCCCCCTGTTTAAAAAGTTTGAGGACCCCTGGATTCTACATATAAGTGAAACCACATGGTATTTGTCTTTCTCTGACTGACTAGTTTTAAATTTTGAGGAACCTCCATACTGTTTTCTACAGTAGCTACACCATTTTGCATTCCCACCAACAGTGTACAAAGGTTCCAGTTTTCTCACATCTTCCCCAACACTTGTTGTTGTTTTTGTTTTTTAATAGTTGTCCTAATGGGTGTGGGGTGATAGCTCATTGTGGTTTTGATTGGTAATGTTGAGCATCTTTTCTTTTTTTTAAAATATATTTTATTGATTTTTTACAGAGAGGAAGGGAGAGGGATAGAGAGTTAGAAACATCAATGAGAGAGAGACATCAATCAGCTGCCTCCTGCACACTCCCTACTGGGGATGTGCCTGCAACCAAGGTACATGCCTTGACCGGAATCGAACCTGGGACCCTTCAGTCCACAGGCCGACGCTCTATCCACTGAGCCAAACTGGTTAGGGCATGTTGAGCATCTTTTCATATACCTCATGACCATTTCTGTGTCTTTGAGAAATGTTTATTCAAATCTTTAACGCATTTTAAAATCAGGATATTAGGTCTTTTTGCTATTAAGTTTACTACTGAGTTGGGATTCCTTATATATTTTAGAAATTAATCATTTACTTGTTATAGTCTCTGCAAATACTTTTTCTCATTCCATAGGTTTGCCTTTCCATTTTATTGATTGTTTCCTTTGTGGTGCAGAGGGTTATTAGGTTGATGTAACCCTACTTGTCTATTTTTGCTGTTGTTACCTGTACTTTTGGTGTTATATCCAAAAAAATTTTTGCCGAGACCAATGTAAAGAAGCTTTTACCCAATGTTTACTTTTAGGAATTTTGTAGGGTCAAGTCTTATGCTTAAGTCTTAAATACACTTTGATTGTATTTTTTGCAATGATATAAAATTTTTGTGTGTGATGTCAAATATGGGCCCATATTCAGTCTTTGGTAGGTGAACACCTCTTGGTCCCTCCCCACCCCTGGCCTGCGTCTTTTCTCTATCGTGTATTCTTGGCACCTTGTTGAACAATTGACTATATATGTGTTGGTTTATTTCTGGACTCTCTATGTATTACATTGATCTATTTTTTCCTAATTTTATTCCAGTACCATACTGTTTTAATTACTGTTGATTTATCTTTTCTCTATCGTGTATTCTTGGCACCTTGTTGAACAATTGACTATATATGTGTTGGTTTATTTCTGGACTCTCTATGTATTACATTGATCTATTTTTTTCCTAATTTTATTCCAGTACCATACTGTTTTAATTACTGTTGATTTATAATATATTTGAAGTCAGAAAGTGTGATGCTTCCAGGTTTGTTCTTTCTTGAAAAAAATTTTTGGTTACTCAGGGTCTTTTGTGTTTTCAATTAATGTTAGGATGATCTTCTGTTTCTATAAGTGCCATTGGGATTGCATTGATAGGGATTACATTAATTCTGTAGATCAGTTAAGGTACTATTGACATTTTAGCAGTATTAATTCATGAACACAGAATATTTTCCCATTTGTTTGTGTCTTTATTAATTTTTTTATTAATGATTTATATCAATGAATTTTAGTTTTCAGTGTACAAATATTTCACCTCCTTACTTAAGCTTAATTCTTTATTCTTTTTTTAATGCTATTGTGAGATTATTTTCTTAATTTTCTTTTTTTTTATATTTTATTGATTTTTTTACAGAGAGGAAGGGAGAGAGATAGAGAGTTAGAAACATCGATGAGAGAGAAACATCAATCAGCTGCCTCCTGCACATCTCCTACTGGGGATGTGCCCGCAACCCAGGTACATGCCCTTGACCGGAATTGAACCTGGGACCCTTCAGTCCACAGGCCGACGCTCTATCCACTGAGAGAAACCAGCTAGGGCTATTTTTGTATATTTTTGTATGATTTCTTGATGATTTTTTTATTCTACCTCTTGCTGAATTATATTAGCTGTAACAATTTTGTGTGTGTTTTTTGTGGAGTCTTTAGGGTTGCTTATATATATCATCATGTCATCTGTAAACAAAGATATTTTTTCTCTTTCTGATTTGGGTACCATTATTTTTCTTGCTTAATTACTCGAATAGAACTTTCAGGATTTGTTGAATAGAAATGGTGAGAGTGGTTACCCTTGTCTTATTCCTGATCTTAGAGGAAAAGCTTTTAGTTCTTCACCATAGAGTATGATATTAGAAGTCAGTTTGTCTTATATGGCATTTATTATGTTGAGTTACATTGCTTCGATATCAGATTTATTGAGAGTTTTTATTATGAAAGGGTATTACATTTTGTCAAGTGCTTTTTCTGCACCTATAGAGATGATCATGTGATTTTTTCTTTTATACTGTACATGTGTTTCTTTTATTGATTTGTACATGTTGAACCATGTTTGTATATCAGGAATAAATCCCACAGATTATGGTATTTTTGTTTTAATGTGTTCTTGGATTCAGTGTGCTCATATTTTGTTAATGATGTTTACATCTATGTCTATCAGTGTTATTGGCCTGCAGTTTTCTTTTCTTGTGCTGTCTTTCTCTGAGTTGGTTATCAGGGCAATGTTGGCCTCATAAAGTGAGTATAGAATTGTACTGTACTCGTCAATGTTTTTTGAATTATAAAGAATTGTCATTAATTCTCTTTTAAATGTTTAGTAAAGTTCCTCAGTGAAATTATCTGCTTCTGGCATTTCCTTTTCAGGAGATTTTGATGATTGATTTAGTCTCCTTACTAGTGATAGTTATGTTTAGACTGTCGTTTCATGATTTAATCTTGGTAGATTGTGTGTTTCTAGGAATTTACCAATTTTACTAGATTATCCAATTTGTTGCCATATACTTATTCATAGAACTCTCTGGTGATCCTTTTTACTTCTATGATATTAATTGTAATGTCTCATAATTTCTGATTTTATATTTAAGTCTTTTTCTTACTACTATAGCTAACTATTTATTTATTTATTTATTTATTTATTTATGTTTTTATGTTTTTAAACCACCAACCCTTAAAAAGAAAAACTCATGGACAGAGATAGCACTATGGTGAAGGGTATGTGAGCACAGGTAGAAAAGGTAAAGGGAGGATAAATGGTGATGGAGGGAGACTTAACTTGGGGTGGTAAACATACAACAGAATATACAGATGATATAGTGTAGAACTGAAACCTATATAATTATATTAACCAATGTCACCCTAATAAATTCAAATAAAAACATGGGAAAAATAAGTTTCATAAATTTTTTCTATTGTTTTTATATTCTCTATTTCATTTATTTATGGCATATTCTTTACTATTTTATTCCTCTGGTAACTTTGCAATTAGTCTGTTCTTTTTCCAGTTCCTTGAGGTATAAACTTAGGTTGCTTATTAGAGATCTCTCTTCTTTTTAATGTTGAGGTTTATCATCATAAACGTTCATCTTAGTACTGCTTTGCAGCATCCCTTAAATTTTGGTAAATATATTTTTATTGATTTCAGAGAGGAAGGGAGAGAGAGAGAAACATCAATAATGAGAGAGAATAATTAATTGGTTGCCCCCTGCACATCCCATACTGGGGATTGAGCCTGCAACCCAGGCATGTGCCCTGACCAGGAGTCGAACTGTGACCTCCTGGTTCATAGGTCCACACTCAACCACTGAGCCACACTGGCCGGGCGGTATGTTGTATTTTTATTTAAACCTGGCTCAAGATATTTTCTAATTTGATATCTTCTTTGACCCTTTGGTTGTTCAAAATGTGTTGCTTAATTTTGAACAAATATTGGAATGTGTTACAACTTTACAGACAGTCCTCGGGTTATGTCGGACTCGACGTACATCATTTCGTGGTTACGTCACCATCTCCCATCCTATATAATAAAAGGCCGTGGGCCATAAGCATAACGACCAAAACGACTGCTTGACCAGTGGCCATGAGGTGCATTGAACACCTCTTGGTCCCTCCCCACCCCTGGCCTGCGAGCAGCGGCTCACGGTGGCGAGTGGGGCAGCATGCAGCTCAGTGAGTGGGCAGGGTGGCTCGCAGTGGCGGGCGGGTTGGCAAGCAGTAGAGAGGTACATGTGCATGATTTTGTGTGCTGGGCCTCTAGTTTATTTATAAAAAAAAAGTTCCGTCATTTCGACATATGTACATATGTACTTTATGTTTTTTATTATTTATTTACCACAAGTAAAGGTCAGGAATTGTTATCTTTCTTTTAAAATTTTTTTACTGTTTCACTTCATTACTGCTGAGTATGTGTTCCATGTGAGTGACGTAGGTGCTTATGCAGGTGGGTTCCAACTTACAGGGAAAATTGCGTTACATCGCGCCGTAGGAACGGGTCTCTGACGTAACCCGAGGACCTACTGTATTTAGATTCAGATCATAGCTGTCTTCAAACATTTTAAGAATGGGATTAGGATTTTGCTCTTAACAGAGGTTGGGATCGGTGCATGAATGAGATTATAGAGATCACTTTAAGTTACAGTCTAGTTCCCAGTTGTCTTTTTATCTGACACATCCTCTTTGTTATCCATCCCTGCAGTATTTTACCTTAAAGGGTTTCTCTCTACCCTACTACCCTCTCCCAAACCTTTGAAGGGCCATTGCAGTGAAAGACTAATGAATCCCACAGCTACTTCTCCAGCCTTTTTGTCATACCCTGGGCTATCAGAATGCTGTGCAATGTTTTCTACAAAGTCCTGGAGAACGCTGGAGGGATTTTTGTCACTACCCATCCCCAGATTCTGGAAGGCTTGTGCAGTGTGCCTAGTAAAAGTGCAGAATACTCTGGAAATATTTCTCAGGTCTCTGAAGGATAGAAGTTTTAACTGATTTATTTACTTACTTGCACATAATAGGCACCCAATAAATATGTGTTTAATGAATATAAATCTTGTCTTCTCAGAGTTCAGTGTATATAATACAAGAGGCCAGATAACAGAAGCTTTTATTTCTATCTCTCATCTATTGGTCTGTAAGAAAATTAATAAAGTTAAAATAGAAGCATTTATTAGACTTTTTAGACTTGTAATCAGATTGAATTGTGGCATGCTATACCTTATTCTTGCTCATCCAAGTCATGAAAATCCAGTGGATTCTCACTAGAATAAGGGAAGTAACAAGATTTTTTTGTAATGGATTTCCTCAGGTGTGGGATACCATATAGTCATAGTGAAGGCACCTCACTGTAATGTTGA